AGCCAACAGTAGATGAACATTAAATGACTGTAACATGTAGATACTCAATGCTTTGTACGCTATACAATCAGTGTCTTTATGGAGCCAACCCCTGTATTATATGTATGAAGTGAAGGAGTAAAAAAATATCAGTTTACATAATACTGAATTTTATTACACACATCTGAAGAATAATTACTTCAAAAGACGCGAAGGTTTATATAAAGCGATGCTTTAGACATATATATTTTATTTGAAAAGGCTGCTTTTCTACTGTTAAAATTTTATATGCGCTGAGTGGGGTTGTGTCTTAGTCTCGGCATATGTTTGCCCATTCCTATGCATTATATATAGATAATTTGGCTATAGGAACTATAAATATTCACTATATTCTCAAACAAATCTCCATGACAATCTCCAGTTGCAGCTTAACATTTTACATCTCGAACTAATGTGATCAAATAGTCAATAGCTACAGTAAATCATCATAAACGGGATCAGTTAGCTACAAGCTATGTTTATTATCATTACAATGTATAAAGTTAGCCACCATATCAAGTAAGTAATGAGTAAATAATGTTTACAATATCTCCAGCCTTGTTTGCTTACTTTTTACGATCCCTATTGGCAGGTTTTTAAATTCCCAATTCTTTATTTATCTTGTAATTAGCTTAGACATGAAATATTGTGATTTAACTATTATCAACCTGGCATGGCCTGGTGGTTAGGGGTGCTCGATTCTCAACCTGCGAGTCGTGGGTTCGAATTCCCGTCAAAGAACATGTCGCCATTTAAACCATGGGCGCGTTGTGATGTAAATGTTAATCCCACTATTTATTGGTAAAAAAGTAGCCCAAGAGTGGACAGTGGATGGTGTTGACTAGTTGTCTTCCACCTAGCCTATCACTGCTAAATTAGGGACAGCTAGCGCAGATAGTCTTCGAGTAACTTTACACGAAATTCAAAAACAAACGAACAGTTACTATCAGCTGTTCATATCATTATTATACCAGATGTACCGAATATTTTCTAGGTATGTAATACTTTTCGACAGAATCGTGTAAAATAAACTGTGTTTTATGTAAAATCGTGTGTTTAACCTAAACATCTATTTATCTGAATGATATTTTGTATGTTAGGTAATTAATACTGTGTTATAGTAAGTATCGGTTTTTTACAGAAATATTATATCTTATGTATAAAACATCGTGGTATAATTACGTAAGAGAAATATCTTAGACATAAGACCGCATGTTCACTATATATATATATTTAAATATATATGTACCATTTTTAATACCCAGATATAAATATATATTAGACATTGTGTTTGTGCATCATTACTGTTTAAAAAAAATAACTTATCGAACATTTATATTCTATAAATCAGGAAGAAACCGGCCATTCTTGAAAGTATGTGGTTGAAAAAACAAGACGCTTTCGTTTGATAGTCTTGTAGTACTGTATTATAATGATTTAAAACAAAAGAGAGTGTCGTTGGTTAAATGATTTTTATAATAAAATTTTATTATTTAGAAAAAATCTATACTATTATTCTGCTTGTTTGTATGTACGACCGTTACGCTTTCTGACCGAGAACCTGCTGCATAAGCATTGCAACTCAAAAAACCATAGTATATTTATTAAAAACATAGTAATTTTAAACAAAGAACCAAACATAAACAAACGAAAAATCAAG